ACATACCAATAACCGTACATGCAGCAGCATTCAAATATGCGCCAGTATATTTGTGTTATTTTTTTGAACTCATTTCTGAATAGCAAAATTTAGAAGCATAATATTTCATTTAAGATAACATGGATCTTATTAAAATTTATTAATCTTATTAAATTAATTTTCTTATTAAAAGCTTTATGTAAAAATAAATTTTTAATTCACATACACCAATTCTATTCCGATTTAATTTTCACTTATGTATAGAAACACATTTGACATTCATCACTTTAAAACCATTCTGATTTAACTTAAAAATAATTAAGAAAACATATTGTACATTTGAGGACTTAAGTTGAATTTATTCCTTAACTAGGTTACTTGTCATCGTACTTCATCTATACAAACATACATTTATACATTTTATATATAGATTATGTACAATAATTAAAGTTCCTTCTTATATTTAATTTTTTGTTTAAAATTTAAATAAAAATTTTTGTATGTATGTAGGTAAGTACAAAATTTAAATTAAATTTTTAAATTTTCTTTTAAGTCATTCACATTTAATCTAATATTATGTATGTCATTCAAATAATAATTAAATGAAGAAAAAAAGGATAATTTTCTTTTTTTTAAATTTTCATATTAAAGTCATTTCTTTTAAGTGAATAACCGTATATATGTGTGTGTTTATGTATGTAGCTTTATTTTTATATGATATTAAGTGTATACAAACAGGACATTTTTTCCCATTTTAAAGAAACCTCTTTCTTTAAAGAAAAAAAAAAACACACTATATTTTATTATTTAATAAATATACATACAGACAAATATATGTATATGTACATACATGTTACCTATATTATGTACATTTGTCCATTTTAATATTATATATGTGACTACATAGTTTATACATGCAAAAAAAATTTTTTCTTAATATAACACTTTAAAAATCACCACAATTTTCTTTTTTTTTTATATTAGGTTGGTACTCAAATTTTATAAAGTACATACTTTAGAATGCAATTTCTGTTCTTTGATGTCATAATATCATAATATAAAAAGCAAAAAGAAAATTAAAAAGAAAAAATGCAACAAACAAGAAAAATAGTCACCTTAAGTGCAAAAATAACTACACATATACAATTTCAACTATACTCGTTTGAAGCTTTTTCATAAACATGGACACCCACATCTGTACAAATACTGTTACTAATATGTCATGTATATGTATACTTGTAGCTCTTTTTGTTTTCTCTCTCTCTCTCTCTCTTCTTAATCCATTTGCTTTGTGTTGAGAGTTGATTCTTGAATTTTTCATTCTTTGTTGACTTTTGAAGAAATGAAGAAAAAGAACACAGCATACAGCACAAGAGTATGCTTTCAAGAATCATACATAAAGTATATTTGAATATGTAGTATGAGCGAATGTGCATCCGTATGCATATATATATATATATATAAAGAAAACTACATAAAGAAAAAAAAATTGTATTTAACTAAAATAAAGGAAGATTATCGTGCATAAAAACGAGAGGGAAAAAATTTATTTTATATACATACATATGTATATATTAAAATACACAATACAATATAGATGTGGGTATGTGTCATATATGTACTTTATATAGAGCACACCAGTATATTACACTATAAATCATCTGGCATCATACAAAGTATAAGTATATTAAACAAACACTATATAAAAATTCACTCATAACTTGTTAAGAGTATATAAGCACACACAATAATAAAAAGAGAAGAAAAAACATAAAAAGCCCAACCATATCACATACATGAAACAATATCGTCATAACTTAAACCACCCTATACCTTTTTTGAGAGCCAACAAACGGCAATATAATAATAATAACAAGAGTATAAACAATAACAACAATAAAAACAATAAAAGTAGCAGTAACAATACTAACAACCACATAAAGATTTTTTAAATGCTTCTCTTTTATAAAGGTGACATTCTCCTTTTGTATTTTTCTGTTTCCTTTTCTAGAAATAAAAACAAAATAAATCAAAAACGAAAAAAAAAAACGAAACAGTAAGAAAACAATTTTTTTTTTCATTTCTCTTTTTTTTTTTTTTTGAAATATGCAATCAACAGGTGAAATGAATGATTTTTTTTTTCGTATTTTGCAATATAAATGGAACTTATTTGTGCATAAAACAGAAACATTTTATAAAATATGTTAAAATAACCCCATTTCCATTTTATTACGATAACAGATTTTGACAGGGTGTTTCAGACAACCATAGTTGAGCGAAATTTTGTAAAAAAGAATGAGAATTTCATAGAATATTAAGCATATATGCTGTTTCATATCATCTGCCCTAAAAATTCTTTGATTTATTCTCTTAGTTTATTTTTCTGTTTTTAAAAAAGAGAGCTGAAACAGTGGAAATTCCGGCTCATTATCGTAGTTCATTTCATTTAAACTTTAAATTTAAATTTTATTTGAATTTTTCAATTACCAATTATCAATTTCAAACAATTTTAAAAATACTTACTTCATAATTCTTTTATATTTTTAATATTATTAACAAAAATTTATCGAAATCACAAATTTTCTTCCTTCGAATATACAATAAGTTTGATATACCCTGTGCTATAATATATTTAAATTTTTTGTATTTTTATTATACCTATAATATTAAAGTATTAAAATACTTTAAACTCCATAAATATATTCTGGAAATATTATATAAAGGATAATATTTACCATAAGTACATTTTATGGTCTCTCGTTTTTATCAGCCCTCTCAATTCACCATCGTTCATATACGCACACAATTCATGGTAATCTTAATTTTTAATTGCAATTTTTTTTTTCTCTTTTTTTTCATTTTATATGCTCATAAAAATATACATATATACAAACGCATTATAAATAATATTTATATAAGCTTATATTATGAGAGTGTATAATTTTTATATCCTAGCTGTTATTAAGCATAATTAAACAAGAAAAACCTAAAAGTACCGCAATATTTCGCGCTTTGTTGGTAACATCCTTTTTTTTTAAATTATTAAGAATTTAATAATTTTATAATTTAATTTATTGGTTTATTGGAAATTGAATAGCTCTTTATTCAATTAGTAAAATACAAAAAATTAGAACCATAATTTATAGGCAACCCGAAGTAGAAACTTGAACGATGTGAAAATATAGTTTGCTTATTTGGATTTTATAAGTTAATTATGGTTATATTCAACTACATTTTGGTATGTAAATATCTTAAATATTGTTTTATATATTGGTATAATTGAAATAAGTCTATATTGCTGAAATACTCCTTAAAATATGCAAAAACTTTATGTGTCGAATGAAATATTAATATTGAAATATCTCGTCCGGGAGCTTAAATAATATGTCATGCGGCATGTATCGTTAAAAATATCCGTGCACTAAAATTAAACACAGGGTTTCATTCAGCTATTGATTACCGTATACAACTTTTTTGTAATAGTTCTGGTCTTTATTTCCATCACCACTTCAATTTATTTTAAATTGAAATTTTTAAATAAAAATCTTAAAGTATGCCGGCCAACCATTTTGCACAGATATTATAATTCTCGCAAATACATTAAAAATAATATCTATATATACATATATACATACATGTATGTATGAATATTATGCTCCACATATTTTGCATTTTGTTGAAAATATCTTGCTACATCATTATAGAAAAGCAATTATAATAAAAAACGACCTCTGAAATGAGGCCTTATAATACATTGTTGTGTGAGATTAAAAAAAAAATACCGGTGTTTCCATATTCCAACAATTTGATAAATGAAACGTAAATTGGGGTCATACATCAACATTGTGTGATTTTAAGAATAAAATTAAAAATTTAACTACACTTGGTTTATGTAATTAAATGCTATGCATATATACATACATATGTATGTATTTTATTTGAGTATGTATGTGTATTTAACAAGAAGAAAATAATAAAAATGTCTCAAGAGTTGTGAAAACGTTTTAATAGCTTTGTTAATTGTTATTAATTCATACAATATACACAGAGAGAAAATTGTGTTAGAGAGTGCGTCTTATGAGGTCATAAATTTTTGCTACAAGTTTCTTTTTTAATTTAAAAATCTGAAATAAATTTTCTTTTAAAAAAAGTTGTTATTATAGCAGCAAGTTTAAGCAATTAACGTTCTTTATTTAAGTCAAATTTTTAAATTGTTTTTTTGTTATTTGAATAAATTATTAGATTTCATGTTTAAATTTTTAATATAATTTTTAGAAAGCTCAACATTTTAATCAATTTTTCAATTTAAGCAGTTTAACAACTTTTAGTGGTTAAACCATTTGCAACAGATTTGCTTTTAAAACAATCCAAAAAAATAACGTAAATTTAAATTTATTAAAACATTAGATCGATAAATATTTAAATGACATGAGAATTATAATCATGAATTTGATTAGTTACGTGTGTTTCGCTAATTATTTCGAATAACCCTGAAAAACCCCATATTTCGTTAATTTTGATAAAACTACGATAATTTTCGAAACATTATTGGAAGATATATCTTGTGCCGTGAAACTACGAACCTACGAAAAATTCACGGAACATTGTTTAAAGATAGATCTTGTGCCGTTGAAATCACACAAACAAATATCATACTCGAAGTTCGAAACAAAGTTCGAATTACAGCACTTTTAAATATAAAAATAAAATTTAATATTTAAAAATAAGTCTGACTTAAATACAGGCTCGCAATTCGAATTAAATTTGATTATAACCAATTTCTCTAAAAGGTTTATTTCAGACGTACAAAAAATTACTGAGCGTTCAAAGGTCTCAAACACAAAGCAAATTAAAAATGCAACAAACAAAAAAAATTTGATCACGAAACAGTTCACGTGCCCCAAACCTGAACTCATCCCCTATTCGTTAAGGTTTATTTTAGGTTAAGGTATAGATACCCCAAATAAATGTCCAAATAATTAAAAATAAAATTATTTTCAAATTTTTATTAACATTATTTATTACTTTCTCCGTTTTCTCTCTTTATTTTTGGGTTTCTTCATTTTTAATATTTTGTTTTTAGTGTTTATTTACAATTTGCATAATTTTTTTATCTTTTATCTTGTTTTTTCTTTTAGTTTAAGTTGTAATTTTTGTTAATATTCAAAAATATCTGGTAAAATTTTTTATTTTTTTTTTTGAGACTCAGCCATTGTGAATAGTTTCTTGTGTTTTGCTTTATTTTGTAGTTTTTGATGTTATCGTTCTGCGCTATTTTGTTTAAATTTTTTTATTTACAAATTCTTTATTTTCCTTTTTTTTTTGCAAAATTATAAATTTAATTTTTATATTTTTTTCTAATTTAGTTTTTATTTTAAAAATAAATTTGAATTTTTTATTTACACTTATTACAATTATTTTTTTATTTTTAAAATAAATTTTGTTTTTCTAATATTTTTTTTTTAACTGTTAAGTATTGCGTTATAATTTCAATTGTTATATTAAGGTAAAGCGGGCTTTGCGATTATTTTCGTAAAAATGCTTTTATTCAATCAGGTATTCTTTAATTTAAAATTTACGGCTCTTTTGTATTAAAAATTGTAAAATTGAAAGAAGCCCCAAAAAAATTTAATTTTCACATGTATAATTAATATTTAACTTTATTGAGTACACATTTCACATTCACGGAGCCACCCTGAAAAGAATATAAGAGTGAGCTTCATCATCAATTGTTGTACAATTAAGAGAAATATTCTCATTTTTCAAGCGTTCATGTATCTCTAGTTTTTTAGAAATTGTGAGTGGGAATATATAAAAACTAAAAGTTGACTCACTTTAGAAGATGAGAAATATTAAAAATATTTCGAAATTCTCACACGATAAACTAAAAATAGTCAGAATTTTTATTTAAAACACTAGACTAAAACTCAATCCGACTTTCAACATTATCACTGAAAAATGTTGTTGTATAGTAAAAAGACACATTTCCACTCTACAAATCAAATTATGTGAATAATATTATGCATTTTCCGCTCTCATATAAAACTTTCGCTTAATTTCAAGAGTCAAAAATCAAGTTTTTCCACTATTAACCCTTACTAATGAAATTATATGGCCAATACTTTCAGTTATTTTTGTATTTTTTTTCTTGTTTTTCATATTTTTATAAAAAATTCAATGTAATTTAATTTTATCCCTTAAAAACTAAAATGTAACAAAAATTAGAAAAAAAAATTCTCTACTCTTATTTCGAAAACAATAAAAAATAAACTAACTAAAATTTATTTTTTTTATTCATAAATTTGTTATTTTTTTTTTGTGTTTATAAATGAAATCAACTTAAAAAATCTATTGAATTAACTTTAAGAAACCAATCCGAAATTCCGTTAAATATTAATCCTATAATTGCCAGTGATATAAAGGATAACATTTTTCTTCTGTTGCCCACTGAAAAGACAAAAGAGAAAAGCAACAAAAACAAAATAAATAAAATGGTGAAAAAGAAAATATTTAAAAAATTAATTCAGAAATTTCTTAAAAAAAAAAAAAAATTCACAATCAAAATAAAAAATTAGAATAATAAAAATATCATGAAGAAGGGACAAAAGTAAAGAATTACGAAATTAAGCCTTTCATAATGTCCTGCAAATTTTCTTAAATGAATTGGTATTTAGTAGAATTTAAAAGGATAAATTTTTTCATTTTGTTTTTTTTTTTTTGGTTCTCTTTGACAAAGGTCAAAAAATCTTAAGATGATGGCATTTAAATGTTTAAGGGAATACTTGAATTATTTTATTTTAAAAAGGATTCACTTATAAGCTCTAAGGATTTTAAGATAAAAAATCATTTATATTTTTTCTATTGCCTTAAAACAAAAATAATTTGTAAAGCTTTCTAGAAAAGAAAAATAATATTTTTCTTTTTTTTTTGGCATCTATTTCTACAACGACTTGAAATTTAATCATTTAGTTAGATAGTGTAAGAAAACACGTTATAGGGCACAGAAAACATTCATTGCAAAAGTTCAAGAATATAAAAGATGCACTGAGAAAAAAATTAGATAATAAAATTAGTAACCACTTTTTTAGGAATGTTCACGATTATTTAAAATATTGCTTAATTATTTGATAAAAAAATTAAAGCTTCAATTTTGAATATTAAAAATCTTTGCGGAATATTTTGTGTGAATTTAGAAAATTTTCAGAAAATATTTTTGTATAACAAGGGTTCGAGTAGTTGCAAATCGAATAAATTATTGTACTCAAAAATGATTTCATTAATAATTATAAAGCAAAAGTATAGATAAGTGAAATTGACTCCAAACTTAGAGGATAGGTGCATAAAAATTCGCAATCTTCCTTATTCCTAAATTTCGTTCTAAGTAAAACAAATAACTCTAATTTTCAAGTCTAGGAAATTGCGTCAGAAAAATAAGATTAAAGATTTCCACTTATTTTTTGGAAACTTTTTTGCAAAATCGTAATTTTTTTTAAAATTACAGTTCCGAACTCTTTTCAAGTATTATTGGAATTGTTCAACTCCAAATGGAGTATTTTTGCTAAACATAATATCTGAAAAGATTCGCGAAAACCAAAATTACGATTTTTCTACAGCTTAAATTTTGGATTCAAATCTTTTAAAATTCAAATTTGAAAATGATTTCGAATTAAAAATAAAAAAATAAAGATACTTACAATTATTATTGTAATATAATTTTTGATTATTTAAATAATCATTTTGTGGTAATAAATATGATGCTGCAATACGTTCTCTACGCATATTTTCATCAATTTCAGCAACACATTTTAATTCTAATATGCCGTCTGAATGATAAAATATTTGACTATTTAAATAGAAATTTAGCACCAAACTTCTTGATTTCATTAAAAATTCATTCATTTCCATTGATGATTCTTGTTGTGGTTGCATCCATTCTGGAAATACTCTTTCATTATTTATATACCATGATAGTGTCGCTGGAGGTGATGAATAATCTGATGTACAATTTGCAATGACATATTGATCAACTTCATATTGAATACTAACACCACTTATTAATGGATCATGTTGTGGTAGAGCTATAAAATACATGTGCAATTATAATAAAACATAAATTTAAATAGTACTAAATTAGAATAATATTTGTGATTTCTAAAATAGGGAATAATACAAATAGGTTTTATTATCTTTATTTTAACATGAAGGAGCATCGATGAAAGGATTTTTTGCCAGGATTCAAATTATTAATATAGAAGGTAATTTTCAGAAAAACATGTATATTACATATATGCATAACTATAACAGCTTGGGGATAGAATAATTTTTGTAAAATTAGTTTATGCATAATATGAGAAAACTCTTTTCAATATTATTCGCGTTTCAAAATTGATTTATGCACAAAATTATAAGTAAAATCTTTCAAAAATTTATTTTCACTATTGAAAATAGAATTATTGTATAATACACTTGAGGGCATATGACAACAAAATGTCCATCTATTAAATTTACACAGTTTACTATATTTACCTGCTACTGTCATATTTGATGCCTTTGTTGCTAATTTAAATTCTGGAGCATCACCAGATACTTCACATCTATATGTACCAGATGATTTACGCTTTAATTGACTTAAATTAATACTGCATGTTAATTCATTACAAAAAATCCCTTCTTTTGATGTTGTTACCCCATCAACTGGAAATGTTAGGAATATTGGATGTGTCATAGGCGAATATCTAAATATATTAAAATAAAATGAATGAATAAAATTTTTTTTCTTTTCGTTTATTTAAAAAAATTTCATATTATTTTATTTTTAGTCTTTTGAAATTTAAATACCTAAAGAACTCTTCTTCATCTTTGTACCATTTTACAGAATTTAATTTATGACCACCCATATTAAAGCTACACGATAAAGTGACACGATCTCGAAAATCTACAATTTCGGGAACATCAATATGGGTAACTGATAGTGGTGAAACATAGCAACACCCTGTAATTATACGAAAAAAATAAAATTTAATTATAACTTAATATGTGAGCTTGATAAATAATCAAATAACCGAAAACTTATTCACAACAATTTAAGAATATGTCAGCAGGCCTAAACACTTTATGCCTTATTACTTTAAAAATATTAGTGTGGAATAACTATTGAATTTTCATGTCAATCTTTAATTTGCGTAGCGCACAGTAATGTAAAGTCTAGATCTTCATATCAATTTTCACACAACTTGACGCTTAAATTATGCAATTGATATGGCAATCATGATTATAAAGTCCCTATACCAAATTCAACCGTTTGAATTGACAGCAAACTGATTCTACATTATTTTTAGAAAATAACTGAAATTGTGCAAAACAGCTTCTGCACTCTTTATTACAGAGTCTATTCAAAGTCATAAAAAATACCATAAACTTATTAATAAAAAATTGTCTGTAAATCTAGGAAATTATAATTACTTAAAAAAATTTGCTACACCCACTAATATTTTTCAGTTTAAATAATAAAAACGTTATTAGTTTTTTATTCGCACATATTGTAATTTATTCCTCTCTTTCTACATCTCTCATTGGGGAGTGTGATTGGGAATGCAGTAGGGCTGTATTAAGTACTTTTCTATAATGTTCATACTTCAACCTCGGCATATATTTCAAGTGGTTTTTCGCAAATTTACTTCCATGATAGCGAAATAGGTTGAATCTTCGCTTTGAATTTATTTATTTCTATTTTACTAACAAAAATAACCGAGTTACTGGAATTAAACAAAAGTATGTCGCAATGTTATGCTCTTCGTAAGGGCATAAAGTAGAGAATTTGTAAAAAAGAGAGTCTTTCTCTAGGTTATTAAATACGTACATTTTTTACAATCACTTTCTCTCAAAATTTTCACAAATATCTTGCTATTTAATTTATATTAATTTTAATTTTAATCTCTTCATACCAGTCTTCAACTCTAATTCTAATAAATACTTGGTACATCCCTAACCGTATATAATTTATAAAACTTCAAAATATTAAAAGTAAATTTATGTCTGTCTACAAAATTTTCACTTTAATTGGTAAAAAAGAGCAAAATTTAAAAAAAAAGAAATTAAATGTCAGAAAAACGTTGGGCTCGAAGAAGAAGAACGAGAAGAAAAAGGAAACAAAAAACGGATATAGGTATGAGATGAACCGAAGATTTAATTTGCACTCCATTTTAATATATTCTTTTTTGACCTTAGGGTATAATAATAAATGAAAGTACGTACATGTGTAAACACATACACATTTATTTACAATGTATAGTCTTACTCGAATACTTACTTAGAATATGAAGTGTAAACATGTACATATTTATATGCACGCACATATGAAAAAAATTATTTTAAAAATATTGCAAAAAAAAAATTATTTTTTTACAAAATGAAGCAAAGTGGCAAAATCTATATGTACCCTAAGTACAGTGAGTTAAGAGATGCTCGAACAGATTTATATTCATATTAAAATATTACACGTGTTTTAAATATTTAGATTATTTAAGGCTTTATTTAGCAATCTAAATGTTTATAACACTTCCCACTGCATTATTACTGTTACTGTGGGAGTAATTAAGAGGAATCATTGCAGACATTTATTCCGGTTACCAAAAATAGTGTCACATTTATAAACTCAATTCCATATTACTTGAAAATAGTTCGAACTCAAATTAATGTTTAAGTGTTCAATTAATAAAATCAATTTTATTATAATTAATCATTAAAAGATCTAGAATACAGTTTTAAACCCTAAAAATTCCAGAAACGATTTTTATATGTACAGACACACACTTTAAATATACTGCTCCATTTTAAATTCATTCCCGAGTGAATTTAAATAATTTCATATTAAAGCCCAAAAATTTATGAAGAAACGTACATTATTGCTAAATTAACATACTTAACAATGTGTAGTTGCGAGAAATATTCTACATAAATTATTTTTAAAGCAAAAATATTCAAAAACAGAAAAAAATTGAATTTTTAAAGCGAAAATAAAATAAAATTTCATAGCATATTTTGTAGATGCTTTTTAATGGCATTTCACATAATAAATTTTTCGAGGACAAATCGATGTCAATGATAATTCGTACATATGGATGCACTTGATTAATTATGAACAAATTTATTTCATTTTCTATACATATTTAATGGATATATTTTGAAACTAGGGAAGAATTGTAATGTTTTCCGTACAACAATAAGGTTATTTTATTGCAATTAAATTGATTTTTCATAATTTTTTGCCTCAGGACGAAATTATGATATTTTAATGTATTCTATAAATAATATATAAATTTTTATAAAAAAAAATTGTATATAAAATATTCAAGGCAACAGAAAAGATTTTTAAAAATTTAGAAATAATTTTTGATCCACTATGTACCGGCATATAACTGTCTTAATCTACCCACATTTTATATAGTTTGCTTTTTACTCTTTCAAAATAGAAATTTATTATAATTTCTTGTTTTTTTTTTCTTTTTCTTGGTACCATCAATCACTTCACTTTCTACATAATATAATTCTATATAATACATACATATATGAGGGGTTGACAAAGGACTAAAGGCAATTTAATAACCTTACGGTTCTAATAAATTTAGCTTTACCAAGGATAGGAAATAAGGTTGTTGAAAGTTATATATCCAGAAAATTACTGTCTCCATCCAGTCACAAAAATAAAAGAAAGGAAAATTTGTACAATGGAAAAAAAAATCCCAGACTTATGAGTAAATAAAATCATCGCTGTCTCCTTTACCTTTTCCATTTTTATTTTATTTTTTTCTCTCCATTTATCTTTTGGAATGGTGATGGAAAATACAATTTTAGCTAATGAAATTGCAGATTTCCCTTTTCATATTAAACTGTATTAATGTTTCAACACGTGTACATTATTACATACATTCATATTTGTATAGAGATTTTTATAAATTTCTGCATACATATGTGTGTAATATTGTACGTCAGTTTTGTACCTAATGTTTTTACTAGTGTATTCTTTGTAATCAACTTTATTGATATTTATGAATCATTTAGGAATTTGGAAGCAATAAAAAACAAACACACAAAACTTGCTATTGGAAATTTAACAAAAGAAAAACAAAAAGGGTAAAGGAAAATGCTAAATTGAAGAAAACACTCATAAAGAATTTTTATTCATAAAATTTTAAAATAACCAAACTAGTGAAAATTTCAGAAGTAAAAATTCATGTGTGCAAGTTGAGCTCGGTAAGTTTTTCAGTAACATTGATTACATTCGAATCAAGATAAAATATTTCTTATTTTTAATGTAAATTAATGACAGCAATGCCTGCTTTTCATTTAAATATATATGGCAAAACAAAACGGATCTACTATCTGCAAACTCAAAAACCTCTAACACATATGCCAACAATTACTAATAGGTAGATATATACAAAAAAAAAAAATTAAATAGGAATCATTGTTAATGCTTTTCTCTGTAAAATTTTAATACTGGGGCCATAGACTAATCCAATTATAATACAAAACTTCTGAATTATGTACTACGTTGTTTGGGGAAAAAACAGTTCTTATCACTTCTCCAAACAATATCCTTAACAGAATAAAAAGAAGAGGAACACTAAACCAGTGTATAGAACGCAAGAATTTTCCAATTACAATTTAAAATTTATCAATAATAATTGGATAAGTTCTTTCATATTTATGTTATACTACTTCCATGTAAACTAATTTCATCAGCTGGGGTTGATTCTTGACTATATCACGTAAATTACAATTATTTTTTCATTTTATATGTACATATATATACATATACCATTTTTATATATAAAAATTTTGTAGATTTAGATTTAGGGTAGAATAAAAATTATTAAGAAAAGAAATATTACATGCATGTAGACTAGAAATTTAATTGAGATTTATTGATGGAAAAAGCTTGCATTAAAGAGAAAATGTAATTTACTAAAATTCATAATTTATACAGTGTATATACTCGAAATCTAAAATATAATTTTAATGTTTAGACATCCAGTTAAATACAATATAGCGAAAAATTTCAAGCTACATTGCCATGTTTTGCAAACAAGAAAGTTTAGAGCTTTCAATTTCTGTTTGATTTAAAATTTATAGTTTTGGCTTTCTGTTTTTTAAAGCAAATATGTATTGTTAAATTTTTTGAAAATGCATTTATTTAGATACTTGGAGATTTACCCATTGTATTTTAGATGCCGTATCAAAACACATTTAGAAATTTTAATTAAAGAGAATAAAATTCAAAATTTGCTAAGCATATTTATAATAATTCACAATATAGAACCGGAAAGACCAAATCTTCAAAAATCATTATTTTGTAATCAGAATCTTTATTGGAACATTTTGTATCGTATTCCAATATTTCTGCAAGAATATTTAAAAAATTTAATAAAACCCCAAAAATAAAAGCTAAAGTTTACATACAAAATATTGAAAGCCAAGCTCTGATTTCAACCAATTGAAATTCACAAATTTTAAAATTCTTCAATTAAAATAAGATTTACAAGTGAATATTTATCAAGAGAAAACACAAATATTACATAATAATATTTGACAATATCGATGGCATCTCTTTTCAAAATTTTTATTTAAAATTACTTTAAAAAGTGTTAAAAGGTTTTCCCTTTAATTTTCATTTCTTATCGATTTTCTTTACATTTTTAATCTACAATAAAGAATTTAACATCCTCTTTAAGGAAAATTCAATCTTAAAATTTAATATTTTTGTTTTTTTTTTTGTTCTATTTCCGCCCACAAATTTTCAATAATTCAAAAGACCATCACTATATACATACATATTTATAATGTTTATAGTCGTTTATAGAGAGGTGCACATGATATGAATAAAAATTCAAACTTTTAATAATAAAGCCATAAAAAGTTATAAATACCAATATCTATACCATATGTAAAATGACCCGTAATATCAATATAAAATCTACAAAATATAATATA